CCGACGCGGGCGTGTTTTTAACATGTGGCAAGGGCATGGAAGCGCAAAAGCAAAACACGGTCGTGCCCTCGACCATGTTTTGCCCAGAATCGGGGTTTTGAGGCAGATTCGAGCAAAAGGAAAGGGAGTCGACTTTTTGGAGCAAAACCAGAGTTTTAGAGAGAGAAAGTGCGAAGAACAAACCCTAAGAGCTATTTGGAGTGGATTTCTCACCATTGAAACCCAGATTGCATCCCAAGGAGTGAAGATTGACATCCCAGAGCAGATTTTCCTCATCTTTATGAGTATGACTACTCTTATTTCTGTTTTCCTCTCTCTCTCTATGGAGTAGAACTTTCTCTCACATGGGTATGAAGAACCCTAGTTCCATGTGTTAGGAATCTTGATTGTAATTACGTTTGGATTGTGATATTGCTTGATTATAATCGATTGAAGTGTTTTGATTGAGTCAATTGAAGTCTGATCATCTTTTATTGATTTCTACTGCAACCTGAGATAGATAGAATCTGATTAGGTTGTTAGAGCTTCTTCATTCGGTAGTAGTGAATCGATTATAGGAGAGTTGGTCGATTCACTGCTTTGTACTGGAATCCAATTCCAATAGTGGAGTTCTGTGTTCATTGCCTCAGCGTTCTATCCTGGTGAAGACTAATCGTCTGCCGGGTAGTTTGACTGAGAGGGCTTGGTCAGATAAGAGATTCCAAGCCACTACCGGATCTTCCGTAGTATAATCATAGTAAAGCAACCAAAAGTAAATACAACTGTGAACTAACTAAGGAGCTAGGGGGACTCATTCCCGAGTGACTCTTCCTTTGCTTTAGAAAATCGAACCATTCCCTGCTTTCTTACTGCTTTTACTTAAATCAACAATCAATCAACTTAGTTTACTAGATAACAGATATACACGGAATAAGCAGTAGATCTAGACCCCGGGTTGACAATTAGAGCTTGCCTGTTACTGCATTTCCGGACTGCGATTACGCTTGGTCGTAGTTTGGTGTTGTGTTTTGGTGTGTCAAGTTTTTGGCGCCGTTGCCGGGGAACCTCTAGGTTATTGGAGAAACGTGGAAGTTTGGTACTCTAGCTTTTTCTTTTATTACATTTTCTCTCTTTCACCTGTATGCCTTCACGGGTTGCTTTTGCTGATTGTGTGTAGGTAGTGCATGACCCGTAGCCAGTCGGGAGATTTACTACCATTAGACCAGGAGCATGAACGGACCTGTAGGAACTTCAAGCGGGATCTAAAGGCATGACTGGCTGCGGAGGAGGCGCTAGCACAGCTGCAAATCGCCGACGAAGAAGAGATGGGTGACCCACAAAACAATGATGTGGTCATTCCCGAGGAATAGACCATGGGGTACTACTGGACCGCCAGAGCCGCAAACATGAGGTGGCCCATTCAGCAGCCTCATGTCCCAGCCAACAACTTTGAGGTGAGCACCTCGGTCATCACTATGTTGCGCGGCTCGGTAGTATTCCGTGGCAAAGAGGGGGAGTGCCCCCGATCACATCTGAGGCGATTCCACAAGCTCATCGATTGAATCAAGATAAATGGGGTCCCAGCCGATGCCATCCAGCTGAGGTACTTCCCATTCACTTTGGAGGGGCAGGCCAAGGAGTGGCTGGACACCAGGCCCCCTGGATCGATCACCACGTTCGCCAACCTGGCGGACAAGTTCCTCTCTCGCTACCATCCTCCGTCCAAGACGGCGGACCTGCAGAAGAAAATTACCCACTTTTCTCAAGACGAAGATGAGACCATTCGAGATGCTTGGGAGAGATACACCAGTCTCTTCCTCAACTGTCCCAACCATGGTTTTACTGACGCCTTCAAGGTGGACACCTTCTACCATGCCCTCTTCCCGGAGGACAAGCAGCAGATTGACTCGGTGTGTCGCGGGAATATGCTCACCAAAACACCGCCACAACTGAATCAACTCTTTGAAGAGATGGCAGAGCAGGGCTATGACTGGGTAAATGCAAGGAGATCGAGACGAGCACCAGGGCGGGGTGTGCATGCTGTAGCCACCCAGTCATCTGATTTGGTGCAGGTGGTATCGAAACTGGTTTCAGCCATCGATCGTTCTAGGATGGTTTCTGGTACAGGACAGCAGTAGGCGATGCACTGCCAGTGATGCACAGCAGCAGGCGATTTCATTGTAATACCTACAATGAGGGATGGCGACAGCATCCAAATTTCTCGTAGAGTGACAACAGCAATCCAAAGCCACCTGGCTTCCAGACTCCTGCAACTAGTTTTCCAAACAGAGGCAGACATACCAGCCTCGCCTGGGCCAGATGCAGCAACAACAACCACTCTATCAGCCCAGACATGGGCAGGCTTTTCAACGGCCCCACAACAGCAGTACCAGCAACCTGGTGCACCGCCATCAGTCCTAGCACCGGGCGATCCCGTGTCGGAATTGAGGAATCTAGTGACTACCTTGGCGAGCACTAGTACCCAAAAGTTCAATAAATTGGAGCAATTCATGGAAGCGGCTGCAGGCAAATTCATGGAGATTGAAGCTAGCCAGAGAAACAGCAAGCACTCCTGCAGGATATGGATACCAAGATCGGGCACCTGGCAGATGCCCTTGCTTCCAGACCGGCTGGCACACTTCCTGGCCAACCCCTACCGAATCCTAGAAATCATAAGGAGGGGTTGCACGCCATTACGCTGCGAAGTGGGAGTTTGAGTGCGGATGCACCGCAGAAGAGTGCCAAGAAGGTGACCCACATCACCCCAGAGTCGGAAGAAAACCTGGTGATGGAAAAGGAGCAAGAGGATCAAGCTCCAAAGCCACAACCGGTAGTGTCTGAATACAAGTCTAAGCTCCTTTTTCCCACCAGGTTTCACAAAGACAGGCTAGAGGCAGAGTTTGGCAACTTCTCATCCATGCTTAGGAAGCTGCATGTTCAAGTGCCCTTCATGGAGGCACTATCTCAGATGCCTAAGTATGTGAAGTTCCTGAAGGAGCTTCTCTCGAAGAAGCGAAGGCTGAGCGAGCTGGCCACTGTGGAGCTCAGCGAGGAGTGCTCGGCCATTCTGCAGAACAAGCTTTCACAGAAGAAGGACCCAAGTAGTTTTACTATCCCGTGCCCTATCGGTAAATTGCATGTAGAGAGGTCCTTGGCGGATCTAGGTGCTAGTATTAATGTGATACCATATAAATTGTTCAAGAAACCAGGCCTAGGTGAACCCAATGAAACTAGGATGAGTATCCAACTAGCTGACCGATCTATAGTTCATCCTAGGGGCATAGTGGAAGACCTTCTGGTTAGGGTTGGCAGATTCTTTTATCCTGTCGATTTTGTTGACTTGGACATCAGTTGTGGCGAGTACGGTCAGTGATGTGATTTGGTTACGTTGGTTTCTGCAAGATTTGGGGGTTACTCAATCCAGCTGTCAACCCGATGTTTCATGAGCGCACCAACCACGTAGAAATGAAATGCTACTTTGTACGTGATCATGTCCAGTATGGTGACATTGTGCCCTTGAAGGTCCACTCCCATCATTAACTAGCAAACATATTCACGAAAGGTCATGATGTTGAACGTTTTCACTTACTCTTTTCTCACCTGCGCGTTCGTGATCTCCAAGATCCAGCTTGTCTGGGAGTATTGGACCTGATATATCACCACGGCCCAGCCCACTCAAGGCCGACCTGCTGCCACTACTGAGCATGTTTGTGTCTTATTTACATGCCCTAGTTTCTTTGCCCTAGATGAGAATTGTTGTTAGGGTATAAAAGCAAGTGTAAGGCCTTCGACCATAACTAAAGAATTCATAATAAGATATCAGTCAGAGAGTTGAGCTCTCCCGTGGACTAGTCCCGTCAATAAGGTATACCACGAATATCGGAAAAATTCTCAAATGACACACGTTATAAATAAATAATCCCAATCTACGCATGTTTGGGCAATACCGCAGTTGATGGACACAGTGAATGCATTACCGCGGTCGACGGCCGTGTTACAGAAGGCAGAAACTTTAAATAAACGTAACTTTGCACTCGGTTAATCGATTAATTTTTTTTATTCCGCATTATTTTTCAAGATCGTGCAAGACAAAGGCAGTTTGGTCTCGTATTCATCCAGTAAAAAACGCGTTTGTTATCGTGAACAATCAATTTTTCCATTTCACCTAACTTTGGAAGGCCATAACTTTGTGCTCTGCAATCCAAACGTCAAGAAAAAAAAATTATTGTGCATAACATTAAGAGTACAACTTTTACTAGGAAGGAATTTTCAAAACAAGAAATATTTTTGGATATACAGTATTTTGGGAATAACTTTGCCTTTACTTTCCCACAAATCCACTAACATTCTGAAATTATGGCTATGATAAAAGTTGGAGTCTTGAAAAATTTATGCAAAAATAAAAATTCATAACGGACTGCGGAGCACAAAGTTATGGTCTTCCAAAGTTTGAAAAATTGAAAAATAGCTTGTTCGGGGTAGTAAAAACATTTTTTCGGGATGATGACAGGACCAAACTCCCTATGTCTTGCAAGATCTCGCAAAATTATGCGAAATAAAAAAAATTGCTACGATTGGATAATCGAGCGCAAAATTATGTTTTTCTGAAGTTTTAGCCTTATGCCAGGCCTTTACCACGCTCGTCGACTGCGATGATGCATTCATTGCGGCCGTCGACTGCGATGAACCTAAACATGTGTAGATTGCAGAATTTGGTATGTATTCACTATTTTGGGAATTTGTTTAATAACGTGTGTATTTTGAAATTTTTTTCTCGTATATAGTTGTCGTCTGTATTCGCTATAGCCTTCCACAAATTTTACAGATCTAATTAACTTACGTTTAGCTATCTTTTAATTTTAGTTTAATTATTTTATTATTTATGTTAGAAAAACCAAACTCCTAAACTAATCCAGAAGTACCGATCGCTCGTGTCCCTGAAGTCTCCCCTGGCGCCTGCTCCCGCAACTCCTCGCCGGTGGCGGCTGGAGTAGAGAGAATAAATAAATTTACAGTAGTGGTTAACGATTGCAAGCCGGCTGGTCACGGGTAATGGAGTTACACACCTTCCGGCTTCCCACCTGCAACATCCTCAGCGACAGGCTACTGCTCCCTGACTCCATCAGCAACTCATCGTTGTTGTTGGCGTCGGCCATGCCAGCATAGCTACCCCGCCGCCGCCTGCAGATGCGGTCGAAGCTAGTAAGTGGGTGGTAGCCAGAGCATCGCAGAAGGAAGTTGGTAGTGCAGAGAATGAGGGCGGCCGCCAGCAAAATTGCGAAGGTATTCATCTTGCTCATGGGGTTTGGAAGTAGTGATGGCAATTTCAACCCGCTCCGCGGGTATTACCTGACCTGACCAGCGATGGGGCGGGTATTACCCGTCCCGCAGTAGTGTGGGGCGGGGCATGGGTATGTACTTCCGACTCGCCCGCCCCGCCTCGTTCTAGACTCATTTTATCTCAATTTCTTACAATATCTCTACATATTTCTCCTATACGGTAATTCATTTTAAAATGAAATAAATTCTAGATTCACTTGGTACCAAACGATATATTAAAATAGTTAGTAAAATACGGTACGGGAAAGTTACGTAAAAAATATGTACGGGTATTTTACGTCGTCTCTAAGTTAAAGGTACGTTTAATAGTACGTTAATAGTAATAAATATATAAAAATAAATTATTTTAAAAATAAATAAATATATAAATAATAGTAAAGTTCACAATTTAATTCATTAAATACGGATATTAAACGTGTTATACGGGTTTTATACGGGTTTAGTACGGGAGCCATCCAATGAACGAAAAAAAATGAAACGGGTTGACAATAATACGGATACGGAAGTTTTAAACGGATAAAGTACGTACGGGTACATATACGTGTATTAAACGGAGTATTTACTAAACTGAAAAGGAATCGTTCAGGGAGCGTGGAATTGCTCGAAAACGTGGCTATCATAGAAGCTGGGGGAGGTTGCTCCAGTTCCTCTTTGACCATAAGGAAGACTTGGAATGGGTTCTCCAAAGAACCCCTGGCCGGTCAAAGATAGAGTCCTCCAGCTCCAGAGATTGGAACCAGTTACGGACGCTGTCGGCCTGTCGTGCCGCATTTGCACATGTCCCACTTTTATAATTGTGCTCAACCCATTTGAATAAAAAAGTTATCAAAACGAAATATTTCAATAAGTTTTAATTAGTATTACCATTATACTATCGAAAAAGTATTAGGACCCTAACTTCTGCCCTAATTACCAACCTTTATACAAAGGCCATTAATTTTTTATGGTAATTTTTTTATACATAGAAGAGTTAGATTGATAGTCCATGGACACGATGCCCACCTTTCACATTATTATCACGTGGACTAATCTCTCAAACTCTTCCGCATTGGAACTATTTTTTGTTCTCATTTACGTAATCCTGAACCTTAACGCAATGCTCTTTACTTAAAATGTGTTGATATATACAGAAGACAAAACTTGTAGGATATATAAGCCCCATCCCCTTCTTTCATTCTCCATCAAACTCACAAAAACAACTTCTCTTCCTCAAAACCCATACATATATATTGCTAGCAAAGTAACATCAAAACAACAACATGATGATGAAGAAGGCGATCATCTCAAACATTGTCATCATATTTGGAATCTCCGCCGTCCTCTTCATTTGTGTTGCAGAGAGCAGACAGCCAATGCCAAAGGCTGTCCAATGTAGCACGGTGGAAATCGATGCCATGCCATGCCTGCAGTTCGCTCAAGGAGGTCAGGACAAAGTTCCACAGACCTGCTGCAACGGCCTACACAACCTCGCCGATAGCGCAACGACGGTCGACGACAAGACCGCCGCCTGCAAGTGCTTGGCTACTGCTTTTCAGAAGTTCCCTACCATCAAAGACGAGGATTTGCAGAAAATTCCTGGGCTATGCAACGTTACTGTTCCCTTTCCCCTCTCTAAGAACCTCAAATGTGACAAGTAAGTGGAATCACCTGTTAATATCGACTTGGAATTTCTTCTTCATTATGCCATTTTTTGCACCACATATCATTTTGACTTCATTCTTCAATTTTGATTTGCAGCATCAAGCAGTTCACTATTGCCTATTAGAACGACATGACCATGCTCGAACGACAAGTTTGATATGGCCACAAGAATTAATGTTTATTGTGCCTTTGATTCATGTTATATATGTACCCTGAAACATCACACACAAAAAAACTCTTTCAAACTCAAACATCTTGTACTTTATAAATTTTATGTATTTGTAATATCATCCCTACCCTGGCTATACAATTTATGTTCGAAAATCTCTCAGTATTATATGTATGCATTGTGATACTTGTTGGATGATGTTAGACAAGAGCATCGACAAGATAGTCATTCAGTTGGATATTGGGTTTATTCTACTATATATGCGAGCTCAATTAAATCAAAGACCAAGTTAATCTCTCTATGTTACGAGATTCATTTAACTCTAAAGATAACAATCTTGTATCCAATTTATTAAACTAATCTTATTGGACCCAGCACATCGGGTCACCCCGGCCCAGCCCACTCATAGCCGACCCGGACCTGCTGCCACAACTGCGCATGCTTGTGTCTTGTTTACATGCCCTAGTTGTTTTGCCCTAGATGAGAATTGTTGTAAGGTAAAAGCAAGTGTAAGGCCTTCGGCCATAACTAACGAATTGATAATAAGATATCAGCCGGAGAGTTTAGCTCTCCCATGGACTATTTCCGTCAATCGGGGAAATCACGTATATCATTGTCTGTGTTCATTATTGCCAGGGTTCAAGAAAGCGTGCCTAGACGTAAGCGGTGGAAGAACGCATTGATTTTGCCATAAGCGCTGGGAAAAGCGCTAGGCACGCTTTATTCTAATTAGTAGCGCTTAAGCGAGGCGGTTAGGGACTAAGCGGTCGCCTATGCTCACTAAATTCCAGCTATGCATTCCCCCAATTCCACTCAACGCTTTCGTTTCCCATCTCTTACCCTCGTGAACTGCTAGTTAGATTAGTAATGGGAATTAGAAATCAAAACCTACAGAATATCAAGGGTCTTCGTCTCTCTTCCTCCATCAGACTTTCTAGGTCGCAACTCAGAAAACAAGAACTCCATATCTTCTTTATTTATAGCTTCCTTCGCCTGTCTTCCTCTAACAGTCTCTCTTCCTTCATCGATCACAGCTGTTGGTGAGTTGGGAGGAGTTCACTACTCGACCGGCCACCGTTGAGAGAAACAAAATTGGGAGCAGCTAGTTAGCAGCTAAAGAAAAGGTTAGAGAAAGTTAGGAGCATTCTTGTTGAAACCAGGAGGGTTATGGATCGTTCATGAAGTGATTCCAGATATGTGACCTAAACAACAATAGGACAGTTGTCTTACCTCTCCTGATATTCTCTCAATCGCTGATGTGTAGTGGTTGATTGTATCCACCCTTGCCCCATAAAAGCCAAGGAAACCAGTCTGTTTTATAAAAGAGGGGGAAAGCATTAGTGAAGAGAATCAAACCTTCTACCAAAAAAAAAAAGAATTCTAAAAAAAAAGAGATTAAACCACTCAAAAAAAGAATTCAATGGTGAGAAATCCACTCCAAATAGCTCCTAGGATTTGTTCTTCGCACTTTCTCTCTCTAAAACTCTGTTTTTGCTCTAAAAAGTCGATTCCCTCTCCTTTGGCTCGAATCTGCCTCAAAAATCCGATTTTGGGCGAAATAGGGGCTGAATTACGTTCGTAAACAAGGTCTGCCCGTAATTCGCCCAAAACGCGCGTTTCACTTAACATTTATGAGAGGAATTACGGTCGTAATTACCCAATTACTGTCAGTATTTGTGGAATTATGATCGTAGTTCATTTTGCTCTTGCCCGTAATTTGATATTCGAAGGCATTCTCAGGGATTTGGCTCGGCATTGCAATTATGGGCAGGGCAGAGGCAATTACGCTCGTAATTGGGCAGGGGATGCCAGTATTTCTTCCTCCGCTTAGTTTAATGCTTCGTTTCTTCCTCGTCCGGACTCCGAATCAGTCGCCGTTTGATCCCAGACGCTCGTAGTCTCGTCGTCTTTCTTTTCATGACTATATTCCATGATTATTTATCCATAATATGAGGTAGAAGTCCATTATTCCTCAGGTCATGCTCGTGTTTCTTCTCCCGAATTGCCAAATGAATTCCGATTGACTTGAAACTTGCGCCTTTGCTTCAATTTACATGCTAGAACCTGAAATGTGACAAAGGAACACAACTTAGCGTAAAATAGTCCAAGAAAGCAAAAACTCAAGCCAAAATGATCAAGAAACAAGGGTGCAAACAAGTGCAAATACGACGTTATCAGAGCCTCAACATCCGACAACCTTGCCCAACACAAGTTGGTAGAGTATCGGAGGAGGCTAGAATGACTTTGGGAAGGAGAGGTAACTAGAAAACTTCTAAGTGCTATAACTTTTTTCATGGAGTACATGTATTTTTCCAATCAGATTTAACTTAAGTTACTAATATTTTTTTGTAGATCAAATTCGATCCATACCCGGCGAACATTGTTCATTGGCATTTACAGCAATTCCCCGAGAATATCGGGCAATGGTGCTAAGTTACTAATATTTTTTTGTAGATCAAATTCGATCCATACCCGGCGAACATTGTTCATTGGCATTTACAGTAATTCCCCGAGAATATCGGGCAATGGTGCACGAGGGTCCCTCTCATTTGTTTAGGGACCGTGGAGTGGCACCTACTGTATTGATGTCTTCGTCAGTTTGGTCGAGAGTAGTGCATTCCGTTGGAAGTCCCCGAGAGTCAAAGGGCATTTCACCACCAAGATGGTCGGCAAGGTACTCACGATTGGCCCACGAAGTTGGCGGAATTGATCGCGGTATGGGAAAACCGACAACTTCAGGATATTGTCACTCCAACAAGTGTGGGTCAAATGGGGTATCATGACCCATACATGGATAGATATCGGCAAACATCGGTTCGGTACGTGACTCCGGAGGGTGCGGCCGATGGTGCATTGGTAAGTATATTCCGTCTAATAAGATTAAATTTATTGCTTATTTAATTCTGTCACGTCATTAGTCTTATCTTGCTAACCTTTTTTTGTGATTTAGGCTGATGGGATCGAGCGGATCAATGCGTTGACCCATGGGAAACATGAAATGGGACATGAAGATGTGAGCTTCATTCGGAGGATGACAAACAGTCTGCTTGGTTGTATCAGAGCATAGGGTCGTGATCATCGTAGATACCCACCCATGCCCGCAACGGTGCCACCTCCGGTACAAGTTGATGTCCCCCATCCCCCACCACC